TATATAATTATAATTATTCTAATAATAGACAAAGACGATCGGATTGTGTTTACAAAATTTTATATATATATGCACTTTCTATAAATAATTGTGAAATTACATATTAAAGCATAATAATAAAATATTCGCTATAATAAAAGCGCGTGTTCTCGCGTGTTACAATTTAATTGATAAAAAATGTAAAGAGGATCTAAATATGTTCGCAAATGCTATTATTATATAATTTACATCTCTCGTGTTCTTATAAGCATTTCAAAGATTTTGAAATTTTTATATTATAAAATTTAATATATTACATAAAAAAAAAAAATTTCATATATATAATTCTTTTAAATGTAGCTTTCAATATGAGATATCTAAAAATTTCAAAACTCCAAAAGCTTTTATGAGAGATAAGCAAATATTGAAGATAAAATTTTGCATAAACATTAAGAATAACGATTGTGAGACTGACCAATATATATAGATAACATTTTTTACGCTGAAATATGTGTGTGTTTGTGTATGTATACACACACATATACATATTATATGCGTGTGTATAAGGGCGAGATTACTCCATTAATTGATCGTTTGTGCAAATATATTACGAAATTTTAATGACGACAAAACTGACGACTGCCGTAAAATTAATATATTTATATATTATGTTGAAAATAAAATCTCTCCTGTGTTTAAATATTTATTTTACTTTTTTTATTATATTTTTTATTATTAATTTATCATTTTATTATTTTAATCTTAATACAAACGAAAATCAATGCAATTTGAAAGAAATCTTCACACATATTTCTATTATCTATTTATTTTTAGCTTATATTCTAGTTTATATCTGTTATTTATTTTTATACTTGTTATTTATTTTAATTTAATATAATTATTATAACTTTGTATAAACAATGCATTTCTATACTAAATAATTAATCTCAAAATTTTTATTTTCTTTATTTTATCATTGACTCCATTTATTTTCTTTTTCAGGTCGCTGACAGCCTGATAAGTTGCTATGGCACCAGCAGATGCTGGCACAAGTATCCTGGTACTATTGATCTACTCGACTTCCTGCGAAGAAGGAATGTCATTCTGGGTGTCATTTCGAATTTCGACGAACGATTAGAATCAATCCTCAAGGATACTCAAATTCACCAATATTTTACCTTTGTTTTAACTTCGTACAATCTTGGTGTAGAAAAGCCGAGCTTGCCGATATTCGAGGAAGCGTTAAGATTAGTGAAGTATCTTCGAGAAGAGGAAATATCGCCTCAGGAAGCGACCCATATCGGTGATAGATTGGACAATGATTATTTTGGAGCGAAAAACGCCGGTTGGAATGCTTTGTTAATTAAACATGAGGATGAAATTGATGAAAGCAAAATATCCAAGGAAGATATTTTTGGAAGTTTGAAGGAGCTTCAAGAACACTATAGGAGGATATTTGGAACGAATTACATAATGCGATGATATTATATCTATTATTTGAATAATATTAGATTTATATAGTAAAACAATTTTATAATGATATAGAATTATTTCAATTATATTTATATTTGGTAGCAATTTGTATAAAAAACAATTTGATCAGGAGAAATGAGTACACAAGTTTGATTTAATCTTTTTTTATCTTGTATTTTAATCTCTGCATATATTTAGTGTATTAGGTATTTATAGATATTTAAATATGAATATTTGGTAAATGTGATATATGATAAATTATATACTTGTTAAAATAATCAAGAAGAATCTTTAATCTGGTTTTAATAATCATCAAATAATTATGTAGATGTGAACAAAGGGAACAATAACAACTCTATTATCAAGACACATATTGTGAAATTTTTTATTTTACATATATTAGCATTAGATTTTATTCATTAAAAAATCTTTAGCAACTGTATATAAGTCTTAGATTATTAAAAAAAAAGATAGATCTTCGTAAGATCTTTCTTCGTAAGATAGGAATCGAATATGACAAAATACAATAAGATTGTATATTAAACATGTGGCTGATATCGCGGTATCGTGTGCTCATGTTCTTTCCGGATACAGCGATATATATTCGCGAAATATTTCCGATTCTGCTCTGCATCAGAACGTTTTTATAATATAAAATAATCATCCACATAATCGTCACACAACTTACTATACAGAGTATAATCCACATCGCAGCACGTTCTTGGTACGGAAACGGAACTGAGTTACGAAATTCGGAGAACAAATTCTTGTGTGGTATGTTACGTGGGCACTAAAAATATACATTATTCTCGTTATCATTTACTTATACCGTCGCGCGAGTCTATGCACGCATAGCAGTGTATATATGCACATTATCAAACGTCTGCGTAAGAAAGTGCTGGGATCTTTGCCGAATAGTTTTAAATGGGCCAAACGAGTTATATATGGGAAGAAGAACACCGCAAGCATCTCGAAACCGCGGATATAGCCAAAATCGAAAATCATTTTACCGTACTTTCGGAATTCAGCGTTCGGATTGTTCAATGAGTTTACATTGAGTCCATATGCAGTGCAGCCAATCATGTCTGTGGTGAATTTGGCGGCTATATCTTTCATGTCTACCTCTTTTGTTATACCTGTCGGCAATGCATTTAATAATTAATAAAAAATATATATATATATATATATATATAAATTAATAATTACACGGATGCCACGACTGCCTGCAACCACTGCTACCGGTAAGTTAATCTTGTGCTAAAATGATTGCTAATTGTTAATTAAATGTACTGACAATTAAAATGAAGATGTGAAAAAAATATTATGTATGGTATTTTGAAAAAAATGATAATTAAATGCAATGCAATGTGTACATATGATATAATAAATAGTATTTGTGTGTTAAAGTAAATGCCGTGTGATATTATTGCACATATTGCATTATATTCGCATACTGAAGAAATTCTAACGCTATTATTAATGTTGATTAAAAGTTTGAGAGAGAAGTAACTTTTCGAATAGATTATGTTCTCCCTTAATGTTTTCCCGAGGCGAGCGCAGCTAAATATTCTTGCGAAATTACGATTATCTGCATATCTAACAAAAGTTTGGATTGCATTAAGAGGAGAATTAAAAATTGCAAGAGAGATAAGAATATTGTCTTACTTGATTCCCCGTTCAAAATGGTTCTTGCGTGCTTGTTTCTACGTCTTGCTACGTGAGTTGATAAATTTTTGTAAAATCCCGGTTTCTTTTCATCTCGCATTACCGAAACGAGACATTTGTCCATATCAAACAGAAGTAATTACGCATTTACTGTGTGTGTGTGTGTGTGTGTGTGTGTGTGTGTGTGTGATTTTTGTAAATATTAAAAGCTATAATTATTTATGCTTCATATATACGTCTTTATTGTATACATAATCGGTGAAAATTATTAAAGCACAAAAGCAATCATTGTTATATCATTAAAGATCACTAAATAAGAAAAGAGTTTTCATGACGTGATATCAAAGTCCGCGATTGAGTAAAACTTGATAAAGAGAGGGGATAAAGTTCCGAATAGGTGAACCCCCAAGAGAGGTACATCCCGAGATATATTTGCCCTGACACGTAGTCAATTGACCTCTTTCAGGACGGAGCACAGGGGTAGGACGAAAATCAATTAATATAAAACGAGGAGATAAGAGGCTAACGTCTGCGCGGCATGAATCACGAGCGTGTAAAATAATACGGCCCCCCGTATTGCGCGCCTAAAAGTAAATCGAGACGGAGGCACGTGCCTCACCGAGATAATACAGCGAGTAATATTTAATGAAAGCTTCTGGTTTTCTCATATAGATTGAACGATTGTGAATTATCACGAGGCGCACAAATACAATTTTAATCCCTGTAATTTTTCGGTTCTGTGATTTTACTTAAAAAATTCGAGGATATTGTTTGTTAATATTTTGTGAAATTGCTGGTATTTAAATTTTATAAACAGATTTTTAAACGAATTTTAAAATTATGTTTTGTAATTGTACCATAAATAAGGCTAAACATTAACGGATTATATGTTAATTATTATTAAATGTAAATTACATCAACGAAGTTTGATTGTTTGAACATGTATGATAGTAAAGGATTAAATATCCGAGATATCCAGTTAATAATAATTTTTAAATTATACTCTCTTTCTTTCGAAAATATAAGTAAAAATAGAATTTTTAGACTGTCTTTCGTAAGTGCCACCGGTTTCTAGGTGAATTTCCCCGATGACGAATCGAATTGCAAAATTGAATAATTAATATAACGATAAATTCCGTGATATATTAATCGTTTAATAAATAATTGATCTATAATTTAAAATATTTATATAATTTAATATTTCGTATATATATTTTATAATACATAAAATATTTCGGCAGTGAATTAAGACAATACCTAACATGGCATTTGGCCTTGGCGGCATAAATATTGACGCGCGTAAACATTGTTTATGTATCACGGCTTTATTATCAGTCATACGAAGACACTTGAATAGAACTGTAGTGGGGCGAAACGCTCAAATTCCTTTCCTACGTGTTATCATTCGCACGGCAATACTCGAGCAGTAAAATAACAGTGCGAAACGCTCTATAAAATTCCTTTTCTAAACGTGATCGCGACAAGTATCGGGAAATAATTTGATATAATTAATAATTAATTTTCTCTCTTTTTTTTACTCTCTAGGCAACAATTATTTAAAAATACTTAAAATTAAATATATTTCGTCCGATGTTTTTCGTTCGACTTTTCGATGATTTAAATATGATTCGGGTTGAGAATGCGCAATAAAATAGGCTAATCGCAGATCCGAGTAATAACATAACGATAAGCTCCGTGATATTAATTGTTTATTAAATAATCGATCTAAAATATTTAAAATACTTGTATAATTTAATATTCCGCTTGTATATACGTCATAGTACGGAAAATATTTCGGCAAATTATCAATAACATAGTATTCAGCCTTGGCGGCGTAAACATTAGCACGCTATTGTTTACATGCTACGGCCTTGTTATTATTCGCGCGGCGACACTTGAATAGTACTGTAATAATGGGAGACGCTACGTCATAAATTCCTTTCTTACAATATTTGTTATGGTTATTATCATTCACGCGACAACACTCGAACAGAAAAGTAGTGATGCGAGACGCTCCGTCAAATTCTTTTTCCACACGCGATCGTGCCAACTACCGTCATCGTGCCGCGGACGGCTTTCGCGTCTTTCGCGTCGCGTGTCAACACAGCATTGCCACGAGTCGCACAATGGCTCATATGTGGCACGCGCATTTGTGCGTTGAACGCACATTAGTGCGTCGTCGTTGCCGTCATCGTGCCGTACGAGCAACGATGCGTCGCGTTGTCGCGGTATCGCGTTTTCGCGTCGTCGCGTCTTCGCGTTGGACTTATATCTCGTTTTTACGATTGTCATCGAGGATCATACTTCGTTGCCGACTAAATGGGATGTCTCTCAGCGTTGCAATCTTTAATATATTAATACCTATTAATATAATTAATTTTATATTAATATCAATTAATATTAATACTATATTAATATTATATATTATATAAATATTTATGTATTAATAAATTTAATATATTAATGTAGGAGCAACGTTAAAACGCCTCAGTATCGCGGCTGAGGTGAATGCCGGCCGCGTAGCAACGTATGTTCGTGCATAGTATAGATGCATGTTCGCGCGGTTAATCTTGAACTTC